CATTCAAAATTTGGATTTCTTGTAAGATTTTGGTCAAGTAATCATTCTCCGTTTTCTTTAGCAGCAACAGCTCTATGTATACCAGGATTTAGTTTGCCCTTCCAGTACATTACAGGTGTCCAAAGGTGAGTGCTTTTATAAGTGTATTCTTCTCTCGTCGCAATCTGGATGACGAGAAAAAGAAGGCTGCGCCAGTGTAAAGGCGGTAGTTACGGGACTAATTTGCGCCGCTGAGTACAATGAAAGGATACTTACGCACATTGTAGCAGTCTTCTCACAGTTTAGCTATATTGGAATCAAGTAAAACGGTCGCCGGAATCAGACCCAAGACGTAATCCAAAAGCAATCGATATAAAATGCATGTGCAGTGATGATTATCTTTTGATGGCATCCAGGTGATATCAAAATCATATCGAACTGAGAGACTGAAGAAATTCTGGTGAAATCCAAATGAAATCCATATGAGATCGATATGAAATCTATGTGAAATCCATGTGAAATCCAAGTGAAATCCAAATGAAATCCTTGTGAAATCCTTGTGAAATCCAAATGAAATCCATATGAAATCCTTGTGAAATCCAAGTGAAATCCATATGAAATCCATATGAAATCCCAATGAAATCCATGTGAATCCATGTGAAATCCAAATGAAATCCTGGTGAAATCCTTTCCAAATGTGTGACCGAAAACGGTCGGTTACATTCATTTACGATCGTTTACGTCGTTGTAAACTGTCGTCTTCGTCAAAGTACTGCCGTGTTACGGCACAGATTTTGGTGTAAACGATTGTCGTTTTTCGCCGTACACGACACGGTCTCACACGACCGTAATACGGCGCATACCAAACGGGTTATTTACGGCCCGTATACGGTCGTAGTTTTGGCGGATATGGCCGTTCACGTCATCGTAAACGGCTGTGTACGGTCGTTTACGGGCACAGTAATGTTCGACCTGGGTTATTATATAGAACTAATACTATTTGAAATAAGTGTCATAACTAAACAGTTTTCATTCATATTCGTGTATATTTTCATTTGAGATAAAAAAAGTGATCATTGACTTCGACATAGAAAATGATGTGAATTTTATAGGGATGCTGATTCATTTGAAACGCAAACATTAAATTTTAAAAAAATTTATGACTTCTAATTAGGAAAAAAGAAACGATCGCATTTACTGTGACTTAAATAGACAGCGAACTCTCATCAAGTTTGCCACTTTTTCATCGATTCTGCCATAAATAAACCTAAACCAAAGCTCTGAAATACGATTACATCTAATTTTTATGCATTTCAACGAATTCTATAATCAGAATTTAGGGTTATCAATTAATATTTAATATTTTCTGATATTAATACAGTCTAGAATTCTGTTAATCAAAGTCCAAATGATTGAACATCTAACCTCTATAAGATAGAGTCTATGGGTGGGTGTGGGTGTGGGGTGTGGGTGTGGGTGTGGGTGTGTGGGTGTGGGTGTGGGTGTGGGTGTGGGTGTGGGAGTGAGTGTAAGTATGGGTCCCATTAAAGAGAGGAATAACACCCACACCCACACCCACGCTCACACCCACACCCACACTCACATCCACATCCACAGCCACACCCACCCACACCCACACCCACACCCACACCCTTTTTTGCCATTGATATAGGAAAATTTTAGAACCTATTTAAACATAATATATTTTCCGTTTAAACAATCGAAGAAAAACAAAAGTTTACTATAAAGACATTGACATGAAATTCAATTTTTATGAGTTTGATTTATCTGACCGCTGTTGATAGTGTATTTAAGCTTTGCTGTAGTTTGTTTATAGAATAATATAAAGTATCAAAAATTCTCATTTAGAATTGTTTTGATATTATCCCATCGCCACTCTGAGAAAATATTTTAAGTCCACAAACGGCGACTTAAATAATCCATCTGTTTATACATATATTGCAATATATATTTCATTTTTCTGAATTCTTCAAGTGTTAATTTGAACGAAAAAGCACTTTAGCATATACATCCATTTGATTTGATTGAAATTTCACTAGAAAATTCTTTTGTTGTACTATTTACTGATCTGAGTTTTGTTCTGGGTTTTACTTAGTGTTTTCTGAATATAGAGCAAAATAAAAAAATGTGGCGCCATCTATAACGAGATTTTCCATTTTTCTCAGAAACAATTGAACCAAATTCTAAATCAACTTCAGATCAATAAATAGAAAAAAAACAACAGAATAGACTTTAGAAATTTCATCAGAAGGTATATTTGAGCATGTGGAAGTTTATATTTTCCGACGAGTCCCTATATATATATACATATATAGATAGATAGCGTTGAATAGTTATATGGTTAAGTAGTTAGATAGGCGGTTAGATAGGTGCTTAGATACATAGATAGACAGATAGTTTGATAGGTAGTTGGACAGATAGGTGGTTAGATAGATAGGTAGACAGCTATTCAGATAGATATATAGGTAGTTAGATAACCATGTAAAAAAAGTATAAGAAAACACTATTAAGCATTTTCAATAGTGGATTTTAAACAGGGAAACTACTTCATAGTAGTTTTTGAGTAAAAACTATAAAATACTTAAAAAGATTCGCTTATAAGTATTTTTTCTGTTTAAAATCTATTATTGCAAGTACTTAGTTGTAAATTTTTTGGATGAAATTTTTTACATGGATAGATAGATGGTTAGATAGATAGTTAGGTAGATTGCTAGATAGTGAGGTAGATAGATAGATAGGTAGTTAGATAGATAGTTAGCTAGTTAGATAGTTAGATATATGGTTAGGTAGTTAGATAGATAAATAGTTAGGTAGATACATAGATAGTTAGGTAGATAGATAGTTAGATAGGCAGTTAGATAGATAGATAAACAGTTAGATAGGCAGTTAGATAGACAGATATATAGATAGTTAGGTAGTTAGATAGTTAGATAGTTAGTTAGATACATAGTTAGATATATAGTTAGGGAGTTAGATAGATAGTTAGGTAGATAGGTAGTTAGATAGTTATGTACCTGGTCAGACAAACACAAAAGAACGGCGTTAAAATGTTGCAAAATTTTAACGAAAAAAAACCCGTAAAAAGCGCACATTTTTTGAATTTTTTTTCGTTAAAGTGGGTGAGGCGTTTTATTTCGTTTAAAACTTTAACGCATTTTAATGCGTTAAAGTTTTAAACGAAATAAAACGCCTGATCCCCTTTAACGAAAAAAAAATCCAAAAAATGTGCGCTTTTTACGACTTTTTTTTCGTTAAAATTTCGCAACATTTTAACGTCGTTTTTTTTATTGCTTGTCTGACTGGGCCCTCACTCAAACTATACGCTCGTATCCCACACCCTATGTTTCTGAATTACACTTGAACCCAACAGAGTCCGAACTGATTTTAAAAATAATTATTAGCCAAATCTGCGTTATTCTTTAGAGAAGAAAGATGAATGGAAGCCAACTCGGATCAGTAAAGCTCAGTTCGATTTCATCTTTGCTATCAATATATCCTCTACAATTTTGTATCGGATATCACTCTAAACTCATAATAGATGTAGGTAACTGCTGGTTATGACCCATGTAGGAACCATTTTATTTCAAAGAAGAATTGTTTTTCAAGTTTTATTTAAGTTCAAAGGCTCCTGCACTCCTCGTAGATTGAATATGTAGAGTTATATAGCATGCTATAAAGATGATAAAAATTTCGGGAGAATTCTTAGGTCTTCCTTGTTGTCAGTGGAACGACGGCTCCCTTTCTAAATACCACCTAGGCACACCACTGCTTTCTTATTTTCTAAGTATAGTTCAGAACAAAAGATAAGTTTGAATTAGCGTAGTTATTACTATCAAACCATAAAGACTTGTAATAAAATGGTAAAAAACTTTTTCCTTCGATATTTGAGACGAACTCCATGTCTGGAAAATTGGATTGTGATGGAATACAAAATAAAATCATGAAAAGTAGTCTGAGTTTAATGCTGATTCTCAAGATAATAAAATTGTATTCAACCATTTTGAGACCTTCGACTCATCGTTTGAGACAACATTTGACGCATTGGGATGTAATTCATCTATGGTGTTGAACTAATATATTAGTAATCATCAATTTTGTGCTTTAGTTTACTTTTCGGTTAAAGTAGAGCTGCCTTACTTTATCGAGTATAGTAAAGTAGGCTACGCTTACTCAGTAAAGAAAAGTCAAATGCTTGAGTTTGCTTTGTTGAAGTAAAAGAAAGTGAAAGTGCCACCCCTGCTGAAGTTCTTTAAATTTTGGACAACTGCTTCCTTTCAGTAGAGGATTAGCGACGTTTACGTCGCGTTAACTTGTTTAATTATGAAATTGACTATACTATTCTAAGAGTTTTAGTCAGATGTTTTCAAAAACTGAATTTTTTCTTATATTTTTAAGCAAATAAGGTGGTAAAACTGTGCCTCGATGGTTTGGATATCTTACTAGCAGTAATGAGGACGATCATTCTGATCTAATTTTGTGAGCCTTTCTGAGAAACCAATGAATTAATATCGCAACGATGAGAGGAATTTTAGTTTTTCTTCAAGCTCTTCATATTTGATCATGACCAAAAATAATCGATTTATTAAAAGACATGTTTCGAAAGCTGATAAAAATGGGTGTGGGTATAGATGAAAAATGACTCACATCCACCCCCACACGTGTACCCACATCCACATCCCTACCCACACCCACACCCACACCCAAGATTTGGGTATGGAACTTGGACGTAAATTTGGTGTGATAAAGTGTTTAAAATCTTTTATCTGGAATCACACTCACCCATACAATGAAAAACACAGTGATATAAGTTTAAAAAAGTTTACAATAAAGCATGGAATCACTCTTGAAAATTAAGAAAAATTTATCACGTGGAGCAAAATATGAAAATAAAAAGAAAAAGCGGTTTGTTGTCAATATCACAGAAGCGAACTTTTTTTTCTAATCATTTAAGACTCAATAGGCTATCTTTGAAAACGTATAAAATATGAATGTTATTTAAGTTACATAGACAAATTTCCCTCGACGAGGTATGCTAGTATCGTTGCTGCCAAACTGAACATCCATCCGATTAGACCTAATGCTGAAGCTGCTCCCATTTTGTAAAAACCACCAACAAGTGCACTCATTCCAATGGCCCAACCGATTAATCCAAATAGACAAGAGATGAGAGCTGAATGAAATCAAAATCGAACAAGATAATCAGTATTGAAACAAAACTAGAGCAATCTCTTTGAAAGTCTTACCTGCAATAAGTGCTGCTAAATGTATTATTTTCGGATATGATTTAAGCGCAATATAAATAAGTAGGACAGCACCAACAACTATAGTCAAGAATAATATGAAAAAATATTTAGAAACTTTTGTATTGAATAGCAATTTTTTTTAATGAGTATTATTTCGAATTCATTTATAAACCTTCAGTTAATATTGATACAGATTAATATGTATCTTTCTTCATTCAAGGTGACTAATTTTATTTGATTTTTTGTTTGACTGTCTTTTTTCTTGTCTTTTCATAATAGTCAATGAGATCAGGAGGCACACTTTGGTTCATAAATGTCAATTAATATAATACGTGTACGCTTTAATATTCTAATCTCATTAACTACTTAATTAAAACGATTCCTTACAAGAGAATCAGACAAATATAATCTGTACTCTGGATTTTCTTTTTCAACGATCTTCATTATGCATATTAATATTACACATATTCTTTTTACTTCAATGATCAAAATTCAACAAGTCTGGACCAATGTGTTTTTAACTTCGTTGGCCTTCAATTTTTTGATAAAAATTAAATGAAAAGATATTGATATAAAAGAGAAGAAGTCTTTCATGACGCTGAACAATATACATTCATTTCTATTTTGAATTAGCTACGGGCTTATAAACGAATTTCGAATAATGATCATTAAAAAACTCTTACATGCTGCCATTGTTGCGATTACAAAGAATGCTCTTGCAGCTTTGATTTTATTGCAAAGCACCGATCCTCGACAATTTTCAGGTAAATTGTAAGTCCATAATCCAATCCTACTAGTTACAATTATACCACCTGTTCGTCTCTGCCAAACACCAAAACCTGCATCAGCCTGTGCAACTATATAGAATACGAATACTATTATCCTAAAATAGCATATAGAAATAAGTTTACATTCAAATTTAAAATCTGTTGATCAATCCTATCTCTACAGAGTGTGTTTTGAATAGATTCATATCTTCATACGTAGTGTTATGATTAGAAGAACATAAAAGTCTGTAAAATAGTCGGATATCGATTTGCAAAATACGATTGTGTTAGCATTAAAAGACATTACATTGTTGTCGCTAACTTTTTTTCATTCTTTTGTTCTCTTTTACTCGACCTATGTAGGGTTCGATGTTTTTCCAACACACAAAATAAATATATACATTTATTCATTTTTCTCTCTTTTCTCTCTCTCTCTCTTTGGTTCAGCTTTATGAACAAGTCTTTCTCAAGTCCAGTTGATATATTCTTTTGTTATTATTAAGTTGACTATATTTGTTATTGTGATCATTTGCATTACATCATTAAATACATATTCATCATCCGGATTTATGTTTCCTTGTTCATCTTATCGATTTACAAGTTAAAGTAGGACTACTAACACTACCAGTCTATCTAATACAGACCTTGATTCTCTTGATTCCTTCTAGCCTATTAACGTTTAGTGGGCAGAAGACTTTGGATGAAGAGAAGCTGACAGATTGTACTTTAACATCCATTAAATTTTTCTTTAGAAAGTCTTTTTTGCCAGAATCATTCAGATTTATATGTATACGTGAAGAAATAACTCATCATGTGCTCTTTCATATGCAAAACACAATTTATTTGGTCCCGCTTTTTTTCCAAAACCTTCTAGAAGACTTTCGTCACTCAGTCTTCGAAATAAACAAAAATATTATTTTTAATTGTTCTCAGAACATGAATTCAACAGTGCTACGACATCAGAACTCAATCTTAGTAAAAGATAAAGTGAAATATTTTTTCGTTTGTTTGTAATTTTGGGTGACCGGACTTTTTGTTGCAAGACAAATCGTTGCGGACAAATCGTTGCAGACAAATCGTTGCAGACAAATCGTTGCAAGGACATTTCGTTGCAGGA